AAGGTCGTCGGTCGCTCGCCTGGTGTGGTCAAACGATGCCGTCTCGATGCGCGGGATATCCATCCGGGCGAAATCGCCAACTGGGGGCGAGGGCGGAAAACGAGTCCTCAACTTGTCCGACGCCCGGCCCACGGCCGCAGCTACTAGGGATAAATCGCGGTCGACAGCGTTTACGATGTTTGCTTCCAACGCCGTCCCATGCTCCCCTGAAAAGGCAGAGCGGAACTTAGACACGTAGTGGTGCAAGCGCTGTGAGATGTCACGGAATGGCGCCAAAAAAAACTCCGCACGCTCTTTCCCAACCGCGGATACCCCCAGAACCACCATCCCTTGAAGGCCTTTCACCAGTGCAGCAAACTTGTCGTTAACGAGAACACCCTTCGCCTTGTCGCTACCAATCTGATACTGGCGCGCTGCAAATGGCTTGAGCTTGATGCCTGACAGGTTGTTGAGCATCTTAAACACAGCATCGTTCACGACTAACTCGTCACCCACATCTTCTTGCAGCCGCACTATGTTGACGGATTGTGCAACGAAAGCCGCAGCAAACCACCGCCGAATCCCTTCTTTAACTACCCAATCCTTCGACTCACGCTTTTCAGTCTCCCGCTGGCCAGTGGAGACCCCTTCGGCGACCCCTGGCATCGCCGGAAGTCCACCCCCAAGAGGGGGTGCGCCTTGCGCCGCTTCTCCACCATCCTGAACAGCGTACACATGCTGACTCAACGCTTCAATGTGTGGGATCAACATATCCAGCTGACCCTGGACCGCGGCCATCTGCTGCTGCAACTGCTGAACGGCCGCCCCATCTCCTCCCTGCTGGTCGTCACCCCCATTTCCCCGGCTGCTATTGGAACTGCTGCTGCAAAGCTTCCACCTGTGCGACCACTGCTTGAAGCGCGATAGCCTGCCCATTGACGGCATCAGCAAGGTTGACGTTGGCCGCTGCGTTGGCCGCTGCGACGCCGGCATCCGCTGCACCGTCGGCATTCACGTTCGGATCCACCATCGCGAAGAGAGGGTTTTCTGGGTTTTCCGGCCAATCACCTAGCCGAAGCCCACCCCTGACCTTTACCTAACACACACGCGATGACCTCTACGGCAGATCGCCCCTTCGTCGCACAGGAGCAGCTGCAGTGTGCACTCTTTATTGCTTCTTTTGCTGCAGCTGCTGAAGTTGTACTCCAATACGTCATCACCACCGTGCTCATCCAATCTCCCGATAAAACTTCCCCGCAATTTCTTGCCTACCTTGCCACTGTACGATTCAGTCCCGCGCCACAAACCCCAAATTTCCTTCGTTCAATCTTACACTTGAGGAAGGTTGTCAAATTCGCTTTCAAGACTGAACATGTTGAAATAGGGCCATTCCAATTTTTGGCGCCAAATATTTGGAACCGAATTGTTCATGTTATACGTGCTGCAGGTGGTCTTCCAAATTTTCCAAATTAATCTTGCCGCTTGCGTGGTGCCAACAAGCACGACGCACAACACCTTCGCCGTCAACCTCCACAACCAAGAGACCATGGCAGACAGCACAAAGGGACGGGTTGCTGGTCGCCAAGTGGCTGCTACCCCAGCCAGATACAGAGAGCAGGGCCATCCCGGCGCTGCTGCCGGCGAAGGTTCGAGCCCGGGCGGAATGCTCTCAGGCATCTCTGGCGCATCGTCGGCGATACACACCCTGATCCATCTCCCCCTCCGGCGAGGGTCGCCACAGGGGCTAGGTCATCAGGTCCTCCGAAGATGGCGGAAACCCTGCTTGATATCATGAGGGACGAGGAGGTCGGCGGCATTGGTGCCGGCGGTGTTGATATCGGCGGCGACGATGGTGCCGGTGGCGTCAATGGCGGCGGCAGCTGCATGGACATCGGTGGAAGCTCGGTCGTACAGCAGCAGGTGGTGGTAGAGAGCAAGTACCGCTCTGATTTTGTCGACCTGGTTCACGTTGGCGGCGAGGTGATGGCAGAGAGCGAGTACCGCTCTGATTTCGTCGACGTGGTTCACGCTGGCGGCGTTGTGGACGGTGATGATGACCCTTCAAAATAAAAAAGAACGCCTAACATTTGTGGGCGCTCAATGGTATCGCAACCGACGACAGCAGTACTACAGTAGAACTCCCACTTCTGACTGGGCTTCGGTCCACGCGATGGCCTTTTGTAGATGCAGACAACCCTGAGTGCACATGCGAGGCCACACCGCCGTCCACCCACCGTTGTTTTGATATCTTCCCAGTAATCTCCGTGCCCGAGCTCGATGACGTCACCGGGGTTGACCTCATCGAGGGCATCCTGAGGCCAGCAAGTAGCGCGCGTTGTACCGATCAGTGCAGCGGTTCGCACGTGGAAACCTTGAGTGGATGATTGAAGTACAGTGTACTCAAAGTCCGAAACGGTTCAGACTACTGTACGTACATTTAACCTGCTCAAAGAGTGGGGCCAAGCAATCTTCGTATATCTTGGGCGACAGCAGCAGTGACGGCTCCTTCGACACGGAACACCCTTCCAGCAACAACGGCACGGCAACCGGAAGCTCGGCACGCACGGCGCTTGATGTACCGGCCCCCTGCTGTGATGGACAAGGGTACAACGCCGTCGAGGGCGAAATCTCCATCCCGAACGCCGCAGCAGTCGGCGGCGTCCTCCACGACTCAGAGGTCCCTCAAACGTAACCACAACAAGCCGTCCTCAGCGTGGCCTGTCAGCCTCCTACAGATCGCTATCCAGGCGCGAGGTATCTCCGGCCTTTCGAGGGAGAGGAGCAGCTTAGTGTTGGAGAAGGCCCTAGCCGGTGTCGACAAGGTGTGGGGGCGCCCGAGCCCCTACTACGCGGATCTCGAGGATAAAACAACAGGTGGGAACCCTTCTGTGTGTTTGACTTTCCCCTCTCTCATCCCACTGTTCATCTACCTCTCTCTGTACAATATCTCTCTCTCTGTCTCTCTCTGTCTCTCTCTGTCTCTCTCTGTCTCTCTCTGTCTCTCTCTCTCTCTCTCTCTCTCTCTCACACACACACACGACAAAAGAGCATGTGTAGGTGGTAGATTTCGCGCTATTTTGGTGCATGTCCCTACGGCTGCATCGGCACCAATGCCATGTACACGAAAGCTCCAACCCTAACCGCTTTTTTTCATGACTCATCTCTGCTCCACCCATGGTTGTCAACCTGCGTGCTTCCAGGTGAGACCCCGGCCTCGAAGCCCCTAACGGCGTCACCAGAGACTGTCGAGGTTCCGGAGACCCTGGTTATGGCTATGCTTAGCGCCATTCGCAGTGGGGCGAGCATTAACCCGAAGAAAACGATGGACTGGGAAGAGAATGCCTACCTCGCCAGTCGCATTTTGGAGGTGATAGCGGATGAAGACCGCGCGTCAGGGGCCGGCGTCACCACCACTGGCCGAAGGAAGAGCAAGCATTGCGTCACCCGGGCGGTGGAGCTGATGGTCGCCGAGCGCTTCAGGGAGCGCCTTGCCGCGAGCAGGACGAGGTTGTCTAGGACGGAGCTCGACAATAAGGAGACCGGCAACAAGCGGTCGGTATACTTTGAGCTATGGAAGGACTTCAAGGACACGGACGTGGAGGTGAAGTCTGAATGTATACCGTTTTCCTTAGCCCGCAGGAACGTATTTTGTTGAGGTTACGTTCAAGTCTAGTTCGTGTGCTCACAGCAATCTAGCACCCAGGGTCAGGGGTTTGAATCTCGTGGAGAGGGAGATTTTATTGCGAAGTGAGTTTTTATCTCGCGCCCGTCCTAGCGCTAGTTAGTTTGCACTCTTCTCGCATTTGGTCCAAGGCACGGGCCGCAGGAGGGTGCGTAGGAGCTTTAGGGGGATGAACCTTTTTGTGTGACAACGGGTTATGGAGGTCCTACCCAGCAGCAAGAACGTGTGCCAGCGCTCATTTAAAGGTATTGAAAAAACAAGCGATGTGCTTCGTCAAATTCTATCGGCCTGGTGTTCCCCCATTAATCTCCCAACCTTTCCGCCCCCCCCAAAAAGAATGTATATACCAAAAAACAACGCCCTTTTCCCTTGTTGCAGGTGGTCACACACCTCAACGACGACGAGCACATCACCGCGGCACAGATCGACCCGAACATAGTCCATCAGCCCGACAACCCGTACGACAAGTTCATGAACATGGTGAAAGAGGTGAACAAGGACTATGGCGTCTGCCACCACAACATGAAGAAGTCTGGGAATCACGACGAATGGTACTTCTTCTGCCATGGTAAGGTCTGCTTCTTTTATTTTAAAGTGGCCCTTGTGCAATAGGTGGTACAGATAACGGCACGTGTCGGGGGGGTACTCCTAGAGAAAAGACAGTGGTTGGTCCACGCGTCGGGAACTCTAGTGTTGAAATGTAGTTGAATGATATTTCTGTAGCGTGCACCGTACTATGCTTGAGACAATGCTGGAACAATAGGGTTAGGGTTATACAGTTAACGTCAATCAAACATTCCTCAACCACGGTAGAGTGTTGCAGCGATAAAAAGTGATGGTCGTGCTCATTCGAAACGTGGTTCGGCGAGAAATGAGTACTGTTCGGGCTCTTCGCCCTCGTTAGGTTTGGGTCATGTAATTTGCAAGTGTTCCTCTGTTGGTCGTGAACGCCCGACAAAGTGCAGCCCCCCCGCCCCGCCCCCCCCAACCTACTGTGGTTCCCCTCATCACAAAGGGTTTCAATAAAATGCCTTTGAATAACCCGATTTTTCTTCATGTTGGCGATGCATCGATAACACAAGTACGTTCCTCCCACAAATTCGTGTGCGCTCTACATGACATCAGCGGGTATTACGTTTCCGCTTGCAAGTTCCAGCACGACGATATACTTTCGTGGTGACGTCCACTTCCGCTCAATGTCACATTATTGCCGTCTAACGATCGCCCCTCCCGCCCCCCCGCATCTCGCCCTGTTCGAAACACCCTGAACGTCAAAATATCAGAAAACCTGGACACCTACTACTTTGGACAGGTCATGGCCCGAGTACCCGCAGGTCCTCGCCGTGTGTGACCGGCTCCTGCCCGAAGACGTGCAACGGGAGAGCAGCGGCGTGGGGGGGGCGGCCGCCGGCCCTACCGGCGGCAAGGGAGCCACTGCTGACGCGAAGAGGAGAGAGGACTCCAAACGCAGCGCGAGGGAGGACAACTCCCACCTCAAGGCCAACAAAAAGCTGTCTAAGAACGCCGGCAGCGTGCAAGAGACGGCCGCGGTTGCCTTGCACTCAGTGGCGTCGGGACTTGGACTGCCCCCCGGCGGATTGAGCGAGCTATTTCGGCCAGAGCCCGAACCCGCCCCCGCCGCAGCACCTTCCTCGCGGGACATCGTAGATGAAAAGACCGCAAAATTGGCGTTTTTCGACACCTTGTTCAAATCTTTCCAAGCCGCCCCGAAAAATCTCAAGGAATCCAAAGCAGAGGCGGCAGGCGGCGACAGCACGGCGCTGGAATTGGTCGGTTTTCTGGAAAAAAATATTGCGAAGATTAGAACCGAAATGGCTGAATGGGACAAGAGTCCCCTTCGAGGGACAGCCCGCGGTCCCTCTCCGATTCCATATGTGCACGAGCGATCGACTTTGTTTTAGTGGCGGGTGGTGTAAGATCGTTCGTGTGTGGGCGGGGGGGGGAGAGGGCAGATTGCTTTCACTTGCCGTACCGTTTGTCTTTTGTCGGGTGGGTGTTTGACGAGTGAGTGCACCACGTGTGGAACACGCACGGAGAACGCGTAGCGCACGCTTGATGTTCGATGTTTTCGTTAGACACGTACAGCAGTACCACTTGTTTTTTTTTGTGTTTTTCACGAAGCACCGCGTGCAATCATATACGACTAGGGGGGGGGGACACGCAGAGAGAACGTGTGGTGCACGACCAAAGTTCTTTTTTTTTTGCCACGTACACCAGTACCACTTATTTCCTTTTTTTGTAGTGCTTTTTTACAGATGACTAGGGGGAGGGAACACGCAGAGAGAACGTGTGGCGCACGACCAAAGTTCGTTTTTTTTTTGGACACG